CAATTCATTCGATGCTCTGAATTTCTAAGCAAAAAAAGTCCAGTTGTTCTTGAGACTTGGATTTCATATTAAAATCTACATTAACCCTTGATGTAAAGGATGTAGGTATTCAATCTACAAACTATAAAACCCAATTACCAAGTGAACCTTACACTAGTCCTAAATTTAAACAAAACCACAGAAATTAAATAGCAGTTAGCATATCTTGATTTCCTTGTGCTAGGCACTATGTACTCTGCATGTTTAATAATGTTATCAGGTAGATCCTGTTAACTGTCAGCAAATGACTAAGACAGATAACCAGCTTGGTACACACAAGGCTGGGTAGCAGGAGCAGTGCACCCTTGGTGCAAACAGAAATAAAATAGTAAAACCAACAAAATGTCAGTTACTAGTAAATTCTAAAAGAAAACATCATTGATAAAATAATCCTAAGCAGTTGTTGACTTTCTCTTGAGTTTTAATAATCTATGTAAGTTTCAATTTCCTAAATGGAAGTTAATTTGGAGAATGCCCAGTATGTGTGACCAGGTCCTGATACGCTGATGCTATGGATTCAGAACAGACGTCACTTGGAGAGGCTCTATAACTATTAGTACAGCCCACACGTAAGGATTGGTGGTTATGCTCCACTGTCTAAGGGTAAATGAAGTATTTGGAATTCTTCTGTGTTGGAGACTTGTTTCTTATTCATTTATTCATGTATGTGCTGTTTATGTATTTATTTATTTATATCAGTGTGGACTCATGGATATTTATTTTATATTTTGTGGTATAACCCAATACTACTTTATTTTGTTGCTGAAAATGTTCTAGCTTTGGCTATTGGGAGCTTTTGTGATTGACCCCCTGTATCCCTTTGACATACCCCTATTAATTTTGTTTTGTTTTTAGCATTTTCTTACATTCTGGCACAACGAGATGCTCTAAGCTCATCTTGTACTTTTCCTGTGTTAGCCCTCGGATCAGCCATTTCTCCAGGGAAGTTTTCTTTTAATGTCACAGAAATATCACAAAAGAAAAATCTGTATCAACCAGGCATAGTCAAAGAA